ACGTTTATCTAAAATTTAATTTAAACTTCCTTATGTTAAAATTCTAAAATAAATTTAGTTTTTCAAATAAGTCCAAAATAACGGTATTATTTTACTTTCAAAATTTCCAAAAGAATGATTTTTTGCTAAAATTTTGAGAACCACTGGATCTTTTCTGGATTTTCTTTCTTGTAAATTTAATCTATTACCTATGCCACATTATCAAGATTTATTATGTTTTTAACGAAAAATTAGAATAATAATAATAATAGCTCCCGTATATAGCGTTAAACGCCTTGGGAGTAGCAAGGTACAGCTTGCTATGCTAGAACCGTTCGGTGTACAAGGAAGGTAATGTGGCTAGCACTACGCTTCAACCGCCTATTATTACCTCAGGATTGTGAATCCCAAGAATTCATTTAAGGCTGAGTCGACCTAGGTACCCAAACTATTTTCAATTTAATAAAAATAGTCGGCTGATGAAATGCCAAGTGTAGGAAAAATTTCCAAAAAAATTTCGAATTTTCAATTTTTTTTTCGCGGAAAGAGACTCATGTGTGTTTCTGGGGTTGAACTATACTACCAGTTAAAATACTTGCACTTATTTCTGGGACACCTTGTATATGCATAAAATATTCTAAATATCTTATATTACAATATTTCTTGTTTCAACGGGATAATTTGTTGATAAGGTTACTGTTTTAAATTTAATACTACTTACTACACTTATTATAGTAACCATAAATATTTATTTACACGACATACTGAAATAAAGGATTTTTAATTACTGGCTCAGTTTAATTTCCATCTGCATATTTTAGTACTGTAACATAATTTTGATTAAACTGCTATTCCTAATAGTTTGATCTATTTAGAGTCTGGTACATTTGCTGATTCTTCTGGAAATCTTTAAAAAACTCGAGTATTTCCGAGCTTAACTATCGACATTTTTTTTTCTGTGTATTTGTAAAAGTTTGTGTAAAAGCCTCTATAACAACAAGTCGAGAGTGTCACCATCATGTATCACTGAACGATCCCTTCCTGACAAATATAGGAGTTAGGCAGGGATGTTTCTTAGCTCCTCTCTTATTCAACATACTCATGGCAGCGCTCTCTATTATAGTGGAGAGCAAGCTGCAGGAAAGAGGAATGGATGTTAGATACAGGTACGGGGACGGTGGTCTTTTCAACATAAAATAATTAGGGCAAAAACGCGTATAAAATTTATCAGAGAACTTCAATACGCTGATGACTGCGCTTTAGTTGCAAAAACGTTACAGCAATTACAGGAAATGCTGAACACATATACATGGGCATACGAGGCTTTGGACCTTAAGCTGAACATCGATAAAACTGAAGTCATGTGCACTCCCCCGGAAATTTATAACAGTAATATAAAAATCGGAGAAGAACTACTGGAATATGTAGCGGAATTCAATTACTTCGGCAGTTTGATTTCGGAAAAGGTAAATATCGACTCTGAAATTCAGTACAGAATTAGCAGCGCCTCAAGAGCATTCTGGAAATTAAAAGACAGGGTTTTCTACAATCATAACTTGAGCACAAAAACAAAACTTGCAGTGTACCGAGCAATAATATTCCCCACCATATTATATGGAAGCGAAACCTGGGTGCCGTACCGCCGACACATGAACGCATTAAAGAAGTTGCAACAGAGACACCTTTAGACAACTATTAAAAATCAAATGGTACTACCATGTCTTAAACGTATCCGTCCTTGAAAAAGCTAGCTGCGAAAGCGCTGAAGTCATGATTACTAAATCCCGCTTAAAATTGGCTGGCCACGTATGCAGGATACAAGAAAACCGCCTACCGAAAGCTCTTCTTTATGGTGAGCTTATAAAGGGTAAGAAGAAACCGGCTGGACAACTCAAAATATACCAGAATATTTTCCATGAAAACTTAAAGGGGATAACTATGCCGAATCAGTGCACATAGAGCACACCGGAGTGCCGAAGAGAAAAAAGAGAGATCACGTATCGGACTTTTCAGTCACAGAAAAGTTCGCAAAAGAAAACGCCTTGCGCAATCATCTTCTGATGCGTGTCAAATACTCGTCAGAGAGTAATGGCAGTAAGTAAGTAACTTTGTATTTAGCTATTTTTGCTTACATTTTAATTTCAAACAACATTTATTTGTAGTATTTTTGAAAATTCTTTGAAATAAAGGTACTCTTCAACCACCTCTAGGCATCCTCCTTTAACCCTGTAGGTTGTTTAACTTGAAGTCATCATAACTACCGCTGATATGGTTATCGGATTTGCACTAACTTTTAACAGTATTCCCATTTGGATAGAACTTCTAATAAAAAAAAATCTCGTATGTTGCATATTTAGTAGACCACACTGTATAAATAAATAATACAAATAAAAAACAATAAATACAGTCACACATTTTCACAGTTTTCCTAGTATTATTTTTAGGAGAAACAAAATTCCGTAGGTTCGAATAAAATCCCTTTATTCCTTTTTAAATCTATTTTTATTTCGGCAAATAATGCGCATCCACCTGCGACTGGTGAATCAAAACACATTAGAAAAGGTCGATGGACATGGAAACATGGAGAATTCGATAAATGACCGGGCCAAACCCGCTTATACCGATCGAACTGTCGTTATTTCACGGAAAGTCGCTCCTGTTTGTCGAGGAAAACAGCGGAATAATTTATTTTTGTGCCATTCCCTTTATATTCATCACTAAATATTCTAGTTTTATTTATAGATAGTTTGGTGTTATAAATAGAATATTTCAAATTAGTTGTAGGTATACAAATTTATAAGAACTTTAAATAGATTTGATGAATGGGGGAAACAGCTCAACAAACTTCAACAATTATACACGTGATCTTTTCTTTTTGCCCATTTAAAAACAGATTTTTTAAAACAATTAAAACTTATTATTACATTACATTATTACATTTTAAACAACAATAAGACTAATAATTAAATAATTTCACAGCATAGGCTGACAACATAATATATTACGTATATTGTTTGGAAACAGTTCTAAACAAAATAACTGTTTATCCTGAACGGTCTTTCATGGTTTTCCGTTACGATACGTTAACATCCGATTTCCGGTCATTTCGTAACTTGTTGCAGTAAGCAGTAATGCAGTCAGTCATAAGCAGCAATGCAGGAGGCATTTACGCTACTGTAGATACAAACTGACGAAGAGACGTATGTTGAGATAGGACTCTTTTTTTATATCAATTCTTCTTCGGGATCCATCTCCTAATGGAGGTTGGAAATCATCATGGCAATTCTAACTTTGTTAATGGCTACTCTGAATAACTGGTTTGAAGTCATTCCAAACCATTCTCTCAAATTCTTGAGCCATGATGTTCTTCTTCTTCCTTGGCTCCTTCTGTCCTTTATCTTTCCTTCTATTATGTTCTGCAGCTGGGCATATTTAGGTCCTCTCATTATATGTCCAAAGTACTCAAGTTTTCTCCTTTTAAGGGTATTAATCACCTCTTCGTCCTCCTGAATTCTGCGTCGCAGTTCTACATTTGTAACCTTGTCAGTCCATGCAATCCTCAGCATACGCCGATAACACCATCTTTCGAATGCCTCAAGCTTCTCCATTTCGGCCTTTTAAGTGTCCAAGCCTCTGAACCATAGAGTAGAGTTGCAAATATGTAACCCCTTAGCATTCTTAATCTAAGCTTTAAGTTGATGTCTCAACTGCAGAGACATTTTTTGAGTTTTACAAAGGATGCTCTGGCTATTTATATTCGAGCTTTTATTTCTGCTGATTGATCCAAGTTTTCGGTCAACCAACTGACAAAATATTTATATTTTTGTACTCTCTCCATAGGTGTATCATCTATTAGAACATTGGCTTGGACATCTTCTCTCTTAGTGATTATCATAAATTTAATTTTCTTAAGGTTCATAGACTTTACACGTGTTGTTTAGTCTTTGTAGAAGCGTTTGCAGACCCTCCACGTTGTCTGCCATACTTTTCTATCACAACCAATTTTTATACTACAAGAAATATGGAATTTGAGATAGGTCCTTTGATGAGTTATGAAAATGCGTGCGAGAGAAAATGACACATTCTGCCTATTATTTTGTGATGGTCACTTGGGACAAAATAAAAGTAAGGCAGCAGCTCTCTTTTATAGTGTGGCTAATTCAACACACTTGAAAATCTCTGATGTTTTACCACAAACTATGGTTAGAATGGGATAGACTTTGCACATAGCTGTATTGCATATCCAGAAAATTGTCCGAGAAAAAATAGCCGAAGGAAAATTGACCGAAAGCAAATCACCGAAAAGAAGACTGCTCTAATGAAAAATTGCCCGAAATCAGAGTTTTCCTAAAAACATTTGAGCGAACAAGAAAGTTTCCCGAATTTCTGGAAAATTGTATGTATTGTGCCTATCATCATCCGGCATAAACATGTAATATGGAAGCCGAATTTCTAATCAGTGAACAGGGAAAACACAAACTGTTACTCCACAGTTATTTGTATCAAAAAGGCACGGGTGAAGAAACATGTGTTCTTTTTGTTTAGTTTGATTTTTATTAAATGGACCGTGTATTTAAATGCCCTGTATTAGGACAATCTTTTACCAAAAATCGACAATTTGAGAAATTTTTATTTGTGTCAATTGTAATTCGATGATTTTTTTTTTCGGGCGACTACTTTTTTGGTTAATTTTCTTTTCGATCAATTGTTTTCGGTTGATTCTCTTTCGAATTGTTTTCGGAAAATTACGAATAATAATAGCAGCAATGCAGGTGGCATTTACGTTACGCTAGATACCAACTAACACCGACCGACGAATTTGTCCGCAGTATTCTGAAAAACGCTGCTACCAAAAGTCGTGATCACGTCACAGTGGTGTACGACTTTTGGTAACAGATATGTTACATGTTTTTTCGATATCAGTTTCTGACATATGAAAAGAAGTTTGCACAAATTATAAGTTTGCCCGCACTTATAATCACTTTCATGTAGACGGCAGATTAATATGTAAATGCTCTTACCTTCTGGTCAGCTTCATCTGAAGAGTCGCCGTATCCTATATGATGATATACAATATTGACAACAGCGAGAACGGCCACCAGGGCTGCAGCAGCTACTGCACTGGAAACGCACATTAGAAAGAGTGCGTAGTTGCGACCTCCTATGCAGTGGTTCAGCCACTTGCAGTGGTGGTCGAAATTGGCCACGCACTTGTTGCAAACGCTAAAATGAAAAAGGAAAATTATTGTAAATATTTTATCATCACTGGAGCTTTTTGCAAAAATATCTACGCATTTGTGTTCACGCGAAGGAATTTGTTTGGTACTTCTTTTGACAGTTTCAGTAACAATTTCAATTAAGGTATACGTGTTTATCACTGATTTTAAATTCATTTATCATAAATCATTAGTAAATAGTATTCAAATAAACTGTATTGGCCCACTTCCTTTGAAAAAAATATAGAACAAAATAGAGATGTCTACAATAATTATTAATATACCGTGTGATGCATTGAAACACAAGACATAGGAAATCCCATGTAAATTTTGAAAAGTTCAAATATTTTCTCCCCAGATGATTTTATGTACATAATATATATGATTTTTTCTAAGGCGTTCGATTGTGTAAATCATAAGATCCTAATTAATAAACTGCAGCACTATGGGTTCAGGGGATCATCTCTCGAATGGTTTAAGTCGTATCTGAGCAACAGAAGTCAACTTGTGAGGGTGGGTACCACGTTGTCTTCTAGCAAGCCAATAGAATGTGGAGTACCACAAGGCTCAGTACTAGGCCCTATTTTGTTTCTTCTTTTTATTAACGACATTGCTAACATAAATATCAGTGGCAAAATATGTCTTTTTGCGGACGACACTAGCTTCACTTGCAGCAACAAGGACATCACGGCACTTCATAGGATTATATCAAATGACTTAATCACCATTAAATCTTGGTGCGATTCGAACCTCCTGAGTCTCAACATTTCTAAAACTAAAGCTTTGTCGTATAAAAACTCGTTGCAGCCTTTTGTACTTAACAACACCACCATTGACGTCGTAAAATCTGTAAAATTCTTAGGGCTTGTTGTGGACAATTCTCTGAAATGGGACATACATATCGAAGCTTTGTCGAAAAAATTGAGCTCTGCCTGTTTTGCAATGTCTGTTTCTAAGGAGATTAACTTGTCAGTGGCTAGAACTGTTTATTATGCACTCTTTGAGTCGCACCTCAGGTATGCCCTTCCATTCTGGGGTACGTGTTGTGCGACTCAATTTGACCGCATTTTCAAGCTCCAGAAGAGAGCTGTTTGATATTCACTGGGACTAAACAGCAGAACTCATTGCCAGGACTTTTTTAAAGAATTAAAAATATTGACTCTTCCTTCCTTATTTATATTTGAATCCGTTTGCCTAATACGTAAACATGTATCAGCTTCTCAAGAAAGGCCATCTCACACTTATCCACTCAGGAACGCGGAGCAAGATCTTTATCTACCTACCCCACGCTCAGAGTTAGTTAAAAGTTCAATATTATACAACTCGAAAAAAATGCACAATCACCTGCCATTTGAAATCAAATCCATAACATTCTCAATCCAAGCATTGAACTCTTATTTACTAGACAAGGCTTTCTACGCTGTAAATGAATTATATTTTGAAAATCGAATTTGATCTTGTAAACACTGGTCTAATGTTTGCTATTGCTATATTTACTAATGACATCGAAATGAATTTATTTAGAGGTCATTGATATTTTACTATAAACTAGTTAAATATTTTTGAATATTATTTTTATTTTTTGTTCTTTGACATGTAAACATTTATAAATGTTTATTTTAACAATAAGACTGACAATATTATTTGTATAATGTTTTGTATTATCTTTTGTTTGTTTGTTTATGTACCTTGTTTTTTTACTTTGTTTGTTAGTTTACCTTTGTCTACAAATTGAAAATTTGTTTGACAATAGAGGCATTTATTTATTTATTTATTTATTTATTTATACAAAAGTGGTATTAGACTTTTTTGCGAGAGAGCCGTTCAAGTTGTACTTTTATCTAGAATTTCGTTGCTTTTGGAATAGGCATTTAAATCTACCTTCAAATTAATAAAAATTTATAATACGGCCCAGAGAACGCTACAATTGAAATACCAACAAAAATATGATTTTGTCATTGTCAATTGCAATGTCATATTTTGTATACAAGGATTTGTGTGGTGTAGTTTGGAAAGGCTGGTTATTTTTTTTCTGAATTGTGATCTGATTTATCAGAAAACAAAAGAATTAATTGAACTGAGAATACTATTCGCGGTGTATTTGCTGTTCATTACTCGATCACTCTCGGGCCTCGCTCATACATCCACAATAATTTAAAAAATAATCGAAATATTTGTAATCAAAAACCTTTCTTAGACAATTTATACTAATTAATAAAATGTGCACATAATCTCCCATTCACAGCCAAACAATACCCTAAATGAGTGTAAAATTCACGCCTCATAATACGAAGCTGTTAAGGGGAGAATCTTTAGCATTCCACAGAAATGGCCGTATTCAGTTTATCTAAATTTCTGTATTTAATATCCCATAAAGACTGTTTTTGAGTGTGGTCTTCTCCTACTGTATTCCCAACAGACGGGAATCAATGTTTTTCTTGCCATAAAACAGCAAAGTCACAGCAAAGTCATTGCTGTTTTCTTCCTGTTCATTATTTTTGTCTTCACACTTCCATGTGCTTCCGTGCTTTTAGTTTCAACCCTCTATTTTATTCTTTAAACTCTTGACATCGTAACTTTATCAGAAGTTCTGAAAATGATAATTTCTTTATACAAAATCACCTTCAAATTCTTGTAAACAAATTATCACATTTATCACATTTTTGCTGGTATTTTAATTGTAGCTTTCTCGGGGTCGTAATCTAATTTTTTTCTAATTCGAAGGTAGATTTTTTCAAATAACTTTTAAATGCCTATTCCAAATGAAACAAAATTACAGACAAAAGTACAACTTTAAAGCCTCTTCAAAAAAGCCTAATATAACTTTCGCATAATAAGATTATCTGGGGAGATCCCAGATAATCTATTTGATCTCTTCAAACTTTACGTGGGATTTCCTATGTCCCGTTTTCCGATGCACCACACTGTAGATATACATATACAGGGTGTTTCAAAAAACATATGTCATCTCTCGTGGGGAGATTCTTCACGTAAAAATAAGATTTATTTTTCATATCAACATAAGTCCGATTCTGCTTTGTTTTGCAGCTACAGTGTATTAAATTATTAATAATCTTTCGATTTATTATAATTTTCTTCCAAGTACATTTAGCTTGGTTTGGTTTGGATGATTCGAATGAAATTTTGAGGGCAAAAGTTACTATAAGTGCTACATATTTTATGCTAAAAAAGTGTCGATAAATTCCTCAGGGACGTGCATATGGGTTATAACTGGAATATTTTTCCAAAAAAAAATCATGTGCTGCACTGACTTTTTTCTTTTGATATAAAAATTGTGTAGGCCGTTTAATGCTAATTAACAGTTAACTCTTGATATTTTCTCGAATTGGGCCTCCTTGATGGGATAAACGTAATTTTATTAATCACAATTAACAAAATTAAAATAAAAATAAAATTAATAAATTATACATTTTACCTAATTAATTATTAAATATTATTACCACTAGTTATTATTACTATTAGTCCAACCTACAGCAATTCCAAATAAAAAAAATAATGGTATTTAAGATAATTACAAAAAACCTAATTTTAAAAAGTTTTAATATCCTGTTTTAACTCCAAAACGATGCATTTCCATACCCATGTTTATAGGAACTTTTTTTCATATCTTTTGATGAGGAATCAATGTGTACTTATTTAAAACTTTCGCAAGTTAGGTAATGATACTAAAAATTTTTAAAGGTTGCTATTAGATTTGGATAAAGGCAAATTAATAAAATTGCGTTTATCTCATTAAGGAGGCCGAAATCGACAAAATATCAAGAGACCACTTTTAATCGGCATTAAACTGCTTACACTATTTTGCTAACAAAAGAAAAAAGTCAGTGGTGTACATGCATTTTTTTTAAATATTCGTGATAACCCATATGCACGTCCCTGGTGAGTATGTCGACACTTTTTTAGATTTAAAATATGTCGCTTTTATAGTAACTTTTACCCTCAAAATTTTATTTGAAACGCTAAAGGTACTTGGAAGAAAATTATAATAAATCGAAAAAATATTAAGAACACCCTGTATCTACGAAACAAATCAGAATCGGACCTATGTTGATATGAAAAATCAATCTTATTTTTACGTGAGGAATCTCTCCAGAGATGGCACATGTTTATGAAAACACCCTGTGTATTTAAATCTAGTTTAAATACAACGTGTACCTTATAAAACATTTCCCCTGTTTATTATTTAAATACGACGTACAATTTGAAAGCAGTTTATTCAATTACTGGTCGTAGTGTGTTAAATACAATATTTAATTAAGCTGCCTAATTAAACAGTCAGACATAATAAATTAATTATTACATTTTAAACATTGCTAAAATGTGTTTTAAAACATTTCCTCACACAAATAATTCTACTATATAAAATTCTACTATTGTGTATATAATTTAATTGTTAACTAAAATTAATACGTTAAATTTTAATAATTTGCTATAAAAAAATATAATTTAAAAATACCTATTCTCGTTAATATTAAGTACCTAAATATAATAATACGTAATATAAATTATTTGATACGTAATATAAATTATTTGCGAAAGTTGAAATATCTAATCCTAGTTAAAAAATAAATACCATCTCTAAATAAATTGCATAATAATATGTAACAAACGGACTAAAAAATGAAAAATAAAATATTAAAAAATGTATATTAAAATATACATATTTATATTTCTTTTGTCCTAGAAAAACTCTAAATTGGTAAAGAATCAATACTTTTTACATTTCTTGTACTTGACCTAAAGTTACATAGCAAAGAAGGGTAATTCATATACCAGTAAATTGTGGAAATTATCATAAATGTTTTTTATATTGTATCTATAGTATTACAATTTCGAATAAAACATTATATGTCATATAACTAGTATATAAAATTACATAATTAGCTGGATTATAAATAATTTGTTTAGAGGATAAGGGAGATCATTTGTATCAAATTTCAAATATTAATATTCAACCTCTACAGGGTGTTTCAAAAAATATATGCC